CAAAAATTACAAAAATATTCACCAAAATTAGAGAATTGAAGATATCATTACAAAATGAACAAATCTGAGAGAGGTCCACATGTAGTACCTATATATGTAATATCAAAGCAATTGCTCTTGCGGTTTTTAACAAGAAGTCGAAAATATCACTTTCTACCAAAAATGACAAAAATATTCACCAAAATTAGAGAATTGAAGATATCAACATGAAATGAACAAACCTAAGAGAGGTCTACCCAAGGTACATATACACCAAGTATCAAAGCATTCAGGCTTGTAGTTTTCAAAAAGAAGTCGAAAAAGTAAAACATTGACACGGACGACGACGACGGACGACGACGACGACGACGGACGCCGACGGACAATCACTCATATGATAAGCTCCGCTCGACAAAGTCGACAGCGGAGCTAATAAAAAGAAAACATATTTTGACATTCTAGACGTTAAACTATAGTGATCAATAAAATATGGAAATAACTAAAAAAAACGACAAATCACAGTTACTAAATAAATGACCGCCGCGTGGAAATAGATTCAGTTGAAATGGGTGAACGCGTCGGGTCACGACGAGGACAAGTGCGTGACTGGTGGCGTTTAATTGGATAACAAAAATAATTGAGAGCAACACACATACATTTGTACAGACAAATTCAGAGTGGACTCGAGTTAGCGTGATTGTCATACTTATTTACTTGGTGATAACGCATTGACAGCCAAAGCCCGGATTCTTATTCCATAAATGATTTCTAGACATCTCGACCCAAGACATTTCGACCCAAATTGAACATCTCGACCCACCGCATCGACGCGACCCTGTCTCAATGTGGCGACGCGAACCTCTATCTAGTTCAACGTTGATCGACATCTTTTGATTCGAAACATCGTGTACTATCTACTAGTATTTCCAACGCGTGTGGTCGGCGCCTTTGATTGCGTTAATTTTGTTTTTAATTCGCGAAATCTATCACTGGCAGCGTTTGTTTTGTCATGTCTCATAACTGAAAGTCCAAGCTGACTTTGTTTTGGCTGTAGGTATGAAAAACGGGTCGGGATTTTTTGGGGTCGAGATGTCCAGTACCCCCATAAATTATTTCGCAGATCAAGCTAGAAGGAAAGTAACAGAGGTGTGAATTCGACATTCAACACCAATCACCGAACAATTCAGAGACTTTTAGCCTGCGAAAATGAAAACAATTAGCAGTGTGTAAGGACTGCGTAATTTCCTGTTTGTCCGACGCGTCGTTTTCGTGTTACTATCAAAAATTATTGATACCTTTACATAACGCAAACTTAATTGTCTCTATAAAGCGATAATCAGGATGGCAAAAAAAGTCAAATGATTTGAAACACTTACCCGACGTCTCTCTCTCTTCTGAAATCCGCCTCGGTGATCATGGGCTGGTTCGGAATCTATTTCTTTCAAAATTGTTGGTATTGCGGCAGGTTTAAGTTGTAGGCGCTTCTCTTTAAAACCTAGTTGTTTTTTCACGGCCGAAGACAGTTTTTCGAAAAAAGAATCTGAGGTGAAGTGGACACTACATATGACGCTGTAAGGAGAAGGTCCACCCCAACCTCGTCTACTGACGTCGCACCTTCGGATCGTTTGGAAAAGTGTGAATACTTACACTATGACTATACGTATTACTGCAACCGCCCACAACACAACGTTTAACCATCACAAACGTTTGTTCTGAAAACAACTTCTAAAAACTCTCTATCTCAAAAAAAAAAAAAAAAAATTGACAAAAAAAAGAAATGCCGACCGAAAAATGTATATCGTTTAAAAGTATGTTGAATCACG